GTGGCAAAAGTCTGGAACTTCTTGAGATGGTGTGTGTGTGGTGTACTGGATCAGGTGCTGGCGACACGCTGGCGCCACATGCTTCAAGACAGGCATAACGTAGGCTGTCAGGTCATGAACCCTCAAAGGATTTCTTATCTGGCTTCCTGAGTGAAGTTATTACTGGAGGAGATAATAACTAGAACAGAGTATACTACTGACTCCGGCCATACAATAGAGCGGAAAAATAATGTAAGGGACCTGGGAGTAGTAATGTCTGAGGATCTCACTTTCAAGGATCACAACAGTGCCACGATCGCACGTGCAAAGAAAATGATAGGATGGATAATGAGAACTTTCAAAACGAGAGATGCCAAGCCCATGATGATCCTTTTCAAATCACTTGTTCTCTCTAGGCTGGAATACTGCTGTACATTAACATCTCCATACAAAGGCGGTGAAATCGCAGATCTAGAGAGTGTACAGAGATCCTTTACTGCACGTATAAGTTCTGTCAAGCACCTTAACTACTGGGAACGCTTGGAAGCACTTGACTTGTACTCGTTGGAACGCAGGAGGGAGAGATATATCATAATCTACACTTGGAAAATCTTGGAAGGAATGGTCCCAAATCTGCACACAGAAATCACTCCCTACGAAAGTAAAAGACTGGGCAGGGCGATGCAAAATGCCCCCAATAAAAAGTAGGGGCGCCATTGGTACACTAAGAGAAAACACCATAAGTGTCCGGGGCCCAAGACTGTTCAACAGCCTCCCATCAAGCATTAGGGGAATTGCCAATAAACCCCTGGCTGCCTTCAAGAGAGAGCTGGACAGATACCTAAAGTCAGTGCCGGATCAGCCGGGCTGTGGCTCGTACGTCGGACTGCGTGCGGCCAGCAGTAACAGCCTAGTTGATCAGGCCCTGATCCATCGGGAGGCCTGGTCATGGACCGGGCCGCGGGGGCGTTGATCCCCGGAATAACCTCCAGGTAACCTCCAGGTACCTAGCTTTGCTTAAGTCATTGAAGGTATATTCCTAAAATGTCAGTGAAAATAGTATATTCTTAAGATGTCAGTGAAGATATATTCTTAAGATGTCACTGGAGATATATTCTTAGGATGTCACTGAAGACATATTTTTAAGATGTCACTGGAGATATATTCTTAAGATGTCAGTGAAGATATATTCTTAAGATGTCAGTGAAGATATATTCTTAGGATGTCACTGGAGATATATTCTTAGGATGTCACTGAAGACATATTTTTAAGATGTCACTGGAGATATATTCTTAAGATGTCAGTGAAGATATATTCTTAAGATGTCACTGAAGATATATTCTTAAGATGTCAGTGAAGATATATTCTTAAGATGTCAGTGAAGATATATTCTTAAGATGTCAGTGAAGATATATTCTTAAGATGTCAGTGAAGGTATATTCTTATGATGTCACTAAAGATACGTACATGCTTAGTGTATACTTCCCGTGATATGTTCGGTGCTGTGCATATTCTCAGACCTTCTCTTACGATAGCTTTTGTGTCTTTCCTCACCGCTAGGGCGAAACGTCTTCTCAGCAAAAAAGGCATCTTATTACCTTGTCGATATGTTCTACCATTGGTAAATAATTTTTACGCTCTCTCTCTCTTCTCTTTTTTCTTAAGAACATACGAATGGAGGAACACTGCAGGAGGCCCACTGGCCCGTACTTGGTAGGCCCTTCTCAGATCCATACCCTACCACTCAAATATTCGTCAGAACCTATTCTTAAAATTAGCCTTAAAGCTAGTCTTAAAACTAGCCTTAAAGTTAGCCTTAAAGCTAGTCTTAAAGCTAACCTTAAAGTTAGTCTTAAAGCTAGTTTTAAACTTAGTCTTCAAACTGCCTAAGCTTGGCACTCATCACTGGCACTCTCCAGTAGTCTTCTGCTACGCCTTCACCATGTTGAAGTCATCCTGAAGGTTCACCTGACCTCTCAGCGGAGGGGAGGTAACCAACTGTCTTCCAGTAAGACAACATTCCCAGTGTTGGTTAATTAAGAGGAGCAGAGGACGTGCAAAAGTAAGAGAGCAGGAGCAGAAGTCGGTGACTGATACCCTGATGATTATACAAAACCAGTTTTCTATCTTTCCTTGCACTAGTTCTTCTTTGAGCCCCGTCTGTCGCTCAAAAAAAATCTATATATATATATATTATATATATATATATATATATATATACTATATATATATAATATATATAAATATATATATATATATATATATATATATATATAATATATATATATATATTATATATAAATTATATATATACATATATAATAATATATATATATATATATATTTATTAATATAAATTAAGGCAGCAATTTGCCAACTCTGAAGTGAATTGGTTTTCTCTCCTTGTGCTTCACCAGTATCTTTCTCCGCGTTCTCTCCTCTTCCGGAAATTGCATAATACGCGTGTTAGTGACACTGACCTGTGCGTCAGTACTTCCCCTCTGCTCGTATCCACTGCTATTATGTTTCTCGTCTTCCAGCTTTTGCTATTATTATTATTATTATTATTATTATTATTATTATTATTATTATTATTATTATTATTATTATTATTATTATGATTATTATTATTATTATTATTATTATTATTATTATTATTATTATTATTATTTATTATTATTATTATTAAATTTTTTCACGCTGATCACTAAACCTGTAAGGCTCATAGAGCGCTTGGAGAATGAGACGTAATCAAGTTGAATCCGAAGAAAGAGAACTTTAGCTCCAGTTCAAAGTATCAAGAGCCTTTTACTGGCATGAAAGCAGCCCACCCTCCCTTTCTGAAGGGTGTCAGCCAGTATTCCTGTGTCAGGTGTCATTTGACACCCCTGTGCTGACGGTTGGCACAAGGGTGTCAAATTTCGTTACCCTCGGTACTTCGATGCCTTTATCAAGTTCCCGTCTGGTTTGCCTTTTTTTATACCCTTTCTGGTCGTGATTCTTCCAACTTTGTGGAAATCTTCTGCGGTCATTTTCTGACTGACCTCCTCCCACGTCTCTCGTGAGCAAGTGACCTCGATGTTCAGTCTTGGTACTTGATTGTGTACCTGAGTTTTGATTCTGTCGTGGATACAGAGTTTATCTGGTAGTGTATATCATGATAGTGTATCTAAAAGGTATTACTATAACCCTAATTTTTAAAGGGGTGGAGGGTTAAGCCAGTGGAAGGCCTCGGTCATACGACTGGAAGCTCCAGCTGCGGGTCATCATATGACAGATCAGCCACAGGAAACATTTGTCCAGTTTCCTAACAAACTTTACCTAACATAACCTGTTTGGTTGTGTCTTTTTCTTTCCTGCTATTTGTTTTAAACAAGGTTTAACAAAGTTAGAGTAAACATTCCTAACTTTATTTACAAGCTAATAGCTGTAACCTACATAAGCTCATATACATTATTTTTCTCTCTTTCTACCCAGTTTTCCTTTATCATTTATTTCACGTGTGTTCTAAATTATCTCCCATCCTGATTACTCACTCTTTACTGTTAATATGTTCTCCCCCACAGGTATTCCCTGTTCCACTGACACAAGTCACTCTGTGATTCATGATGTTCTTATAGTCTGTATCCTAATCTCTAGAGAGGCACCTTATAGAGCGCTCTCTTGCAGTCCTGGAAGGTGCGGCTCCTCTATCCTCACCTTTACTCTTTTATCTCTGTAATTCAGTTATGTTCTGCATGACTAGGTGCTTTCATATGTGTTATTATATGTAATTAACTTTTGTAAAAACTATGCATCATGTAGAAATAATAATAATAATAATAATAATAATAATAATTATTATTATTATTATTATTATTATTATTATTATTATTATTATTATTATTATTATTATTATTATTATTATTAAAACTGCAGCACTAATCTGTACTACTATACATAAAATATTCTTTTGTTTATAGATGGTTCAGTAATTTCGGCAGTAAAATCTCGGCCAGAATTTCTTGAAATATAGACATCAGTGACACTGTCGTATAGTTCAGTACCCCAGGTATGTTGTAGACGTCACACGTTATGTGTGGCTCTCTTCTGCAGGGGGTGGCACTGCGTCTGTCCTTACTTCCTTCTAGGTGCTTTTTATTTTGAAGGACTGACGCCTGTGTGACGCCTCGAACCGGTGCGTTGCTGTTCGTGGGAGAGGACTGCCTACCCATGTTGTGGGAGGCAGTCACATGATTACACAGGCACATGATGGGTCTGCATAACAACTCATTACGACTGTAATCACATCATAAACCAAAAATTAGTTCATTACTGTTGTAAAATAAACCATCCCACGGGTGGGGATTGAACCCGCTATCAGTAAATCTCAAAAATCTAGACCGTCGCGGGTTCAAACCCCACCCGTGGTATGGTTTGTTTGCAATCGTGTCTTTACGATTCCGTGAGTCATTACTATTGTAACTTTCTTAGTTGTTAAACTTTGAGGCTCAGACTGAACCCGCTGAAGCTTTACGTCACTTGAGGAATAAGAGCAGAGGAAGGGGATGGTATCTCCAACTTCCTGAATCAAGTACCTCGTACTATCGTAAGGGTTCTTGAATGGAGATATCGTAGGTTGAAAGTAGACACACTTGTAGGATGGTAAATATATTGTCAGACTGAGATGAGGGATGGAGCCCCAGCTGCCTTGCCTGTCTACGCCTGTATGGTCTGCCGCCGAGTGAGAACGGGACAGAGGGATCACTGCCCATGTGTATCCCTATGACGTCACACAAAGCCAAAGGCCTACGAGGGATCTCGTGTCTAAAGCACAGGGATGATACTAATATGCTATGCTATATAATACTGGGAATACAGGGATCAGCAACTATGCTGACAGTACCAGCAACAAGGTAACCTCCTTCAGGGGATGCTACAGTTCTACTTCCCACAGCAGGTGATTATCAAACAGCTGACAACTCTCTCTTTCCCGAGTACTTCCTTCTAACTGTATTTTTTTCTTTTTCCTCCTCCTGCAGGGATGATGGCGGCGGTGTTGGTGGTGGTGGTGTTGGTGATGGTGGGGATGGTGGAGGCTGAAGTGCCGTGTGTGGAGGTGAGTGACAGACTTACTCTGCCTTGCCTCTGCAACACACAAGATCACAACATCTCCATCAACTGCGACAATGTGGCCTTTCCAGGAGACTTTCCTCTGCTGCCCTTCAAGTAAGAAATGTGTTGTATTGATATTATTAAGGCAGGTGATTCTGGTAGTGCTGGTAGGCGATGTTGGTGGTGCTGGCAGTGCTGATAACGTTGGTGGTGGTAGTGCTAATGGTTCCTCTACAAGATCTTGTTGATACTGCTTCTACAACAGTTCCTTGTAGGTGCTGCTGCTGCTACTTCTGCTTTCAAAGGTACTTTTAGCTGATTCTATTCTTGCCTCTGCTTTCACAAGAGCTCCTTGTTGATGTTGCTACTGCTGCTGCTCCTTCTGCAAGAGTTCCCTCTTGATGTTGACCTCACTGTTGCTTCTACAACCAATGTCGATAAGCACTAACAGCTAACCATATATACATATATATATATATATATATATATATATATATATATATATATATATATATATATATATATATATATATATATATATATATGTGTGTGTGTGTGTGTGTGTGTGTGTGTGTGTGTGTGTGTATACAGCCATATGGCTGGTACATTTGCTTTCGTCTGTCTTGTCGAAGTTCAATTGTTCGAACCTGCAACACTGACTCGTAAAAATTGATCTGTGTAGAAAAAAAAAAATCAGATTTTGACCTCTTCCTCTCTTCCTTCCTCCTCCTCATCTACAAGGATGAACATCGTGGAGTTCACTCAGAGAAACGCAGGGATCCAGGCACTGCGAGGCCAACTCTTC